CCCAGATTTTCTTTTTATCCACACCTAACTTCAAGAAGACACTTAGAAATCTATCTATTTTAGTTTTATACGATTGACTAGAATTAGAAAGGACTACAAGTTGGATCAAAAAATAATGTTACATGAGTCTTCAATTGCACAAACAACAACAACAAAAATCCATTTAGATCATCTCTTGCATGGAAAAGAACTCTTATGGAGCTTGCCTGTCAAATTTCTAGGAATGTACTGTATATGTAAAACATCACAACCGATAGTGATTTTTGTTATATTTTCTTTAAGCCATCCTATTAGTTTCATAAGGTCAGATCAGTTAGACAAGGGAATAATTTCAATGAATTTCAGCAAAGGAGCAATTAGCAGATGAAAAAAATTGTGCATTACAAAAATGACAGATCTATAGCCAGCCCCAACATAGTTTTCAAGTTTGCTGTGGGCTTAAATCAAAATGACTTGCATTTAAATTTATCTCAAAAGCAAAACTGGACATTTATACATTATCAAAAATTATAAAAGGACTCAAACCGGGCAGTCTTTCAAACAATGTTTTCAAATAAAGGAATGTTCTGTCACTTGAAATATGTTCATTCTAATGCTCAAATTAGCTTATGAAACAGGGAGAATAGATATGTCTCACACGTGCCAAGTTCCCTGAAGGAGTACAGAGAATAGGAATGAGGGTTTTTTAAAAAAATAAAATTGTAACAGATTCTATACTCACTCTAATCTGAGAGGGGAAAAACAATTCTAAAAACAGCAAGGATATTTTGTTTCAAGAATGATCTGTATTATTGTGGTCAGCATTTAAGCCAAAAAGCTTAATGTTTTATTCTCTCCATTTCATCTGAGAGGGGACAGGAAAGAACAATGCTAGAGAGCAGTTTCATTTTTGCAGAGTAGACTGAACACAGGCTCTGAATAAAGGTTTGGAGAGGGTTTATTGGAGTGATATTCAAAATATAGTACTTCTTACCTAAACAGACTGTTGAGCTTTACAATTGTCAAAGCTACACAGAATGATTTCTATGCACTCGGCTGAATTTTTTCTGTCTCATTGCATATCTGCTGTTGCCTGAAATACAATTATGTTCACAGACTAAGACTTTGACTGTATTTTATATAAAACAGATTATATAAAACTGGGATTATCACTTTAACCTTACAGAGGCTGACAGCAATGTTGGCTTCACTATGAGCTTCGTATAATATTACTGTTGGTGCTAAATTTGAAAATGGAGGGCTGAAGCTAAAAATTGTGAGGCTGAGGGTAGCTGGGAATCTCTGGACATAAGAACAGCCAACCCAACTCCAGATTCAAATCAGGAAAAAGTAATGGCAAACTCTTTCTTTATTGATGTTAAAGCAGGGGTCCCCAACCCCTGGTTTGTGGACCCATACTGGTCCCTGGTCGGTTGGGAAGTGGACAACGCAAGCATTGGCTGTGTGCACAAAGCTTCATTTGCGCATGCAAGGGATCTAAGTTGAGCACATGAAACCGTCCCCCCCCACACCAATCTCCACCCACTGCCACTGCTACTGGTCCATGGAGCCTGAAAGGTTGGTGACCACTGTGTTAAAGTATATAGACATGGCTAAAATATTTGTTTGGGTGCCAGATGAATAGATTCCCTGGTCAAAGATATGTCTTGTTTTACTGTAGAAGAATGCTAGGCTTTCCTAAGGAAATTTGAAGATGATGACTTGACCAAATCTGTAAACACTTCTTTACTTACTTATTGTGCCATTACTGGAAAAGGAGCTCCTTGTTTTAAACAATACATGCCATTAGAACATAGAATATGAAATGCATAAACTGGGGAAAACCTAAAATTGCAGAAGAAGGAGGAGGAGGAGGTGGTGGTGGTTATATTGGACATTTTAGAAATAAGTGAAGATAAGTAAACTTGCAAGGCTACTGAAATCAAACAATTATATGACGTTCTATTCAGAATTGGAGTGTATACAAAGTAAGCAGTCATACTAAAAAAAAAAAAGATGGGAACCCAGTGAGCTTTCAAGCTTCTATTTTTATAGCCTTTATCACTAAAGTATTTCTTGTGTCTGGCTATTTCCTGACTTGCCTTATCTCAAAGGGCTGGCACCTACAGAGCTTAGAAAGGATTTTTTTTCCCCACAGGCAGTGATTTGTTTATTATTATTTATTCAATTTATATATGCTAACCATCTCACTGACAAGTGACTCTGAGTGGCTTACAACATTATAAAAGTTAAGTACAACATGTTAAAACATTAAATGTGAAAATAAACAGAGATTAAATAAAACCCAAAATACATGGAATACCCCAATAATGTCCCCAGACCAAATGGCAGAATAAGATCTTGAGACTTTTTGAGAAGGCCAAGACAGTGGGAGTGCATCTCACCTTGAGGGGTATTTGTTTTCCTATTAATTTATTAATGTCTGATTTCATCTTTATTAAACAATTATATTTGATGGTGAGGAGGAAGAGGAAGGAAAGAAAAATTGCCGCTTGCTGCTCCTATGTCCTTGCCTTGGATAATTGACGTCTCACAGAGCTTTTGAGAAACAACTGAGTGGTAGCTTTTTCCAGTGCATTCAAAGTTGAACAAGGGAGCTTTTTCTCCTCTCTCTTTAAAATGTTATTTTGGATTTCTTATTTGAAGTAGCTAGGATTGCAGGTTGAATCTGGGTGAAGTTTCATTACAAAAACGTATCCCAAATCATTTAAAACAGATGTATTTGTGCACCTTGTACACATTTTGGTATGTCTTTAAATATTGCACGCATCCCAAATTCTTGGAATTTAAAAGGACAGGAGTCAATGTTAATTAAATATATTAATTAAATTCAGTAGCCAGACATAGAGTGAGAAAATAGCTGAACGTAAAGCTGTCTATGTTGACACCATCAAAGTGTGCTAAGTCTGGGAACGAGACAGGATCATGAAGAGATTATTAACTGGCCAGAGATGGAATTTCAGCCTAAGGCATGCGTGGCCTTTTTAAAGTCTCCAGGTGTTTATTTCATCAGTCTTGAATACAGAATTTAGGAGTTGGAAATACAAGGTAAATTCATGAAGAAATTGGCTACACAGATGTAAGCTTCCCAAAGTTATTTTATTAAAGCAGAAATAAGCAAGAACTGGTTGTATATAGCCTTCAAGCCCATTATCATTTTATCCAAATTCTGCCACTAGAATACACAATAGAAAATAATGCAAAAATGGCGTAAGCTTTTGCATAGGTTTAATAGTAATAATAACCACCATGCAACCCCTTCCCAATGTGCAATCTGCCTGAAATGTAAATGTAAGTATATCACATCATCACAACATTGTAACACTGCACCATAACCTCTTGCTATCATTCTTCCCCAAAATTAAAATGCGACCAATGAAAAGTTGTCATCTCTGCTATAAAATAGATAGTGGAGATCCGTATTCTCATCTCAAACTGAAGATATCAATGAACCAAATTAAAAGATAGTTGCATATCTTACTGCTGCACAGGGAAATGATGTCCCATGTCTTTTCTACAAGTTCTCATTCAGTTTGTTGACAAGTAATTTGTTTAATAAAGTCTTTCAAAGGAGTTTTGAAGACATTCTTATGGGTGGATTGTGACATGCATGAATGTGTTGTCTTTTCTGTATTCTTTCAAGAAACCTACAAGTTAATTGTTAAATTCCAAAACATTATGGAGAAACACTGTTCACAGTTTATATACTTTGTTTATGTATAGAGATCCTCCCATTTCTTTCTCATATGCTACCATACTTTATCTACCTCTTTTGAAAACAAAGGATCTGTGACTATAGGTAATTTGGATAAAACATGTGAGACAATCCAATTCCTTTTCTTCCCCTAACATGGGCCTAGAATAATAATAATAATAATAATAATAATAATAATAATAATAATAATAATAATAATAATAATAATAATAATAATAATAATAATAATAATAATAATAATAATAA